TGCGAGGTCGAAACTGCAGTCGACCCTGGATAAGAGCAGCTTTTGGGAAAAGCAAGACAATAGCGTCAACATGAATGTTCCAATAAAGCCAATCGACAGCTGGTTAAGAGGAATCCGCCGTCATCTTCTGGCGTAATCGGCCTTCGAATCTCTTCACCAAACACTTTCACTCGAAATGGAAGTAAGCTCAATCTGAAATGTGCTTTATGAAATTAAGGAGTGGAAAAAGAGAAGCAATTCATTTTCACACCAGCCTTTCTGAATTAAGCTGATACAGTGCCCTAAAAATGCATTACAATGGGAGTGGGAATGAGAAAGGATAATTGGATGATGAGTCTGAGGCATAGGAAGAGGAAGATGCCTAGGCATTGGCGTCACCGGCTCTGAATCCTCGAATATGACTTAAACGGGGACGATAATTGAAGTCTCTTAGTCGGACAGATTTCAGGCAGCCAGACAGCGATTTTGAGGTGTAATAACGACCAGTTGACAATCGGGATGGAAGGAGGGGGAGCTGAATGAGGATCCGAAGCCCTGAAAATTGCACCTGGAACCGGTGGTGAAGATTATTACACTTCACTATATCTACTGGAAGCGACACATCCTTGGGTGAAATTGGGGAAAACGAGATTTGTATTAAATTTACTGGTATATTAGTCATCGTTTAAGGTGATGAATGATTGGTAGTTGAATTTTTTCATAATTACGTAAGTAAAGCTGACGTTTCCATTTAATTTCACATAGCCATGCTTTCCCAAAAGGTGTTTTCATTCAGGGTGGACTGCAGTTTCGACCCCATCCAAGTCTTGTCAGCACTTCCAGTGGGAGTCGAACTATGACAGTGTAGAATGTAAACTCGACACGTTAACGGCTACGCAACTTTACCACGAATGCCCTTGGGTCACAGGGCAGATGTTAATTTTAAGGAATGTCAAGCATTTTCCATATCACTGTCATGGTTCGACTCCTGCTGAGGATGTTGATAAGATCTATGCGAGGTCGAAACTACAATCCACCCTGGATGAGACAACTTTTGGAAAAGCAAGGCTATGTGAAATTCAATGAAATCGTCAACCCTGATCATATCATTGTAAAATTCAACTACCAGTCCTTAATCACCTTAAGCGAAATAGGGTGAACACACCTTATATATATAATTAACTGGTAGTCTCGAAAACCTATTCACGATAAAATAGTTTGTTTAGCTCATAAAGTGGTGTCGAATCCCACTTACGGTGTAGATGAGGCCCAGACATGGTCTTAATTGAAGTTCATCCTGAATTATAAGAGGCAAGTGATATGCAATAGCATCAAGAAACATTTTTATGCCATCGTGGGAAAATTCAAATATAAGTTCTTCTTAACCTTATGAGACCTAAAGTGAATACAGTTCCTAAACAAAACTATTGACTAATAATATTTTCCGTTTGTTTGACCAATTGTTACAAGTAATTTTTGAAGCTACTTTTGCCACGATTATCTCGATGCGCATTCTTGAACATTGTTTACAGGATGGTTCATTACTAACTTATCTTTCTATCTTTAATTTTGTGTAAGCATCTTCTAGATTATTTGACTTTTTAAAGGTGAGACAAAACAATCTGTGGACGATGAACATCCAAAATAAAACTCTTTTTCTCACATTTCTGGAACAAGTGTCTATCTTTTAAAACATATATATGCCCACCTAATATCAATTCTGCGAGACTTTTCTCGCTATTTGACCTTGATGGTCTTAGATAAGTGTATAGAATTGGCTGATTTCACAACCTCTCATATATAGGATATAAGGGAAACATTACTTTTATTTTATCTTGTTTAAACTCGCAAGTGATTCCCGAATATTATTCTCAGAACTTTGTCATATCAAGCTGTTTTGGGTTGATTTTCCCTGCACTATAATCCTTGAATCCTTTCAAATGGTCCTGTTAGCTGAATATTTGCTTTTTTTATTGGAAATTACATGGCCTACGTTTTAATGAGACCGAAAACGATTACTTAGTAGGATTCATAATTGGTTTAATAAATGAGTTGATGTTTTCTTTATTTCAGGCCTGCTCACCTCTAGCCCTTCCAAATGAACCAAATCAGCAATCTATTCAACAACTTAATTTGCCTGGATTCAGCGATCCTGACCTCCCAATTTCCAGTCTTATTAAACTGTACGCCGATTGTATCTTGCATGGCCGAGTCAGCCTCAAAGAGACTGCTGCTCAGGGTCTCGCTGAGTGCGTCGCTCTGGCTGACGGGTGTGCTATGCAACGCTGCGTCGTAAAGGTGATCGGCCCTATGATCCGCTTGCTGGGCGAGCGGCACTCGAATGTTGTCCGCTTTGCTGTGATAGAAGCTTTAGTCTTGTTAATGTCTAAGGTTAGTTCCAGTAGTCATATGTGCTTGAAGATTTAACCATTGTAACGTTAATGATTGCAATCGCATCTAGTTAGACTCCATGACTTCCAGCAATTGCCCACTTTGCATTTGGCCTGTGTTTTTGCTTCGACGCATTCTATTAGAAGTATTGCATCATTTTTTTCATTTTTCAATAGATGAAATTTATCTTTTCTAATATTGTCCATATATTTTTTTTCAAGGTTGTTATAGTGCTCGACTTTTTATTATTCACTTGATATACACCTATTGATCTTGTTACGTGGACCTTCCTCAGTTATCACGCTTCCTCCGTTTCTTCCACCAGGTTTCTGCTAATTCAAGTTTTTTCTCCTTGTTCTGATTCAAACGACATTTTTTCCTTTATCGGCTTCAAAACATTATTTTTTGAGCCGTTTAACATTGCTTCCATATTATTTGGAAGCATTATGCTAGTTTTCAGTATGTCTTCTTTTTTATGATAGGCCTAACTTGGGCCTTGATCCGTTAATGAATAGGCTTCCATTGGCTCCTTTATTGCCTTAACTTCGGATTAGAATGTGTCTTTTGTGGAGTTATTTTAAACGTGGAAGAGGTAATTCTTGAATTTTAGCCCAGGATGTCCCAAGGATATTGATCCGTCTTTGATTATCCTGGAAAGGGTGTGCTGATTCAAATTAATGTGACAAATGAAGGACTTTGTCTTTTAAAAGTAATCGTAATAATGTAAATAGGAACACTTTTCAAGGTGTATTTGGCGGGGAAATAATTAGTGGGTAGTTTTCTGAGGCGAAGGTAATAAAATGTTTTTAAAATGATGATTGTTCTACTCACTTGTCCTGCTTATTCGTTTTGTCCTAATGTAAGTTAGTATACCAATAAGCAAAACTTGAATCGAAGATGTGAAGACCAAGAGAATGTGACCTTTTATATGGTCGCATTCTTCTTGGTCATATTGGTAGAAGACCTAGAGAAACGCACTTAGTCCTGAGTCCATAATTTGTATGATAATTTATAGAGTCGGACCGTGGACGTGGAGCATTCCCAGACGTTTCGCCGGCATCGTCAGTGAGCCCTGCCATTCTTAGCACCACACTACAACTCGCCAAAGAGACAAGACAATTATGCATACTATTGACTAGGTATTCTAACAATATTACCAAGTTGCGAAAACAAGGTCAGACAACTTCTAAGCAAAACTTTGTTATGGAGCTTGCGCTCGCAACAATATTTCATAAATAATTAAGCCGGATGAGCCTTTAAAGGTTAAGTGATTTGAGAGGGCATACAATTGTTTCGAAGACTGTGGCGATTTTACTGGTGAATTCATTCGTAAAATCATTGTTTGAATCTCTTTCACAATGTTTCTTCATATTTAATATCCACATTACTACATGCTCCTTATTCATTCCTCCTAATTTAAATGCCTCGCCACATCCAATGACATCACCCACACACTACCCGACTATAAATTCTTTACACATTTAATGCTAGTATTCTTCACTCATTCCTCTTATTTGGTACACTAAATACTCTCTATTAATTCAACAGTGCACCATGGCCACACGGCCTTTCGTCACTCAGCTTCAAGCCACCTTTGCGAAATCCCTAGGTGATCCAAATCGACCCTCGCGCCTACTTGCAGGCCGCGGTCTTGTCAATCTAGCCTCAATGACGCCTAAACTCGACGTTCTTCTCGTCGATCTGGCTAAGGCAGCTGCTTCTTCATCACTTGTAACTGCTTGTCTGCCTACACGTTCAGCTGGTGCGGCTAAGGTTATTTCGTCAGCTTCAGGCCTTCGCACTCCCTCCCAAGCTGTAACTGGCGTTTCCCTTTATCCGTATGCCTTTTTAAACTCAATAATTTCCGCTAACTTTCAATTATTTGCTTGATTGTTGACATTCGTGAAGTTTTCCCACTTGATTCTAAATAATGTTTATTGTTGATAAGTGAACGGAACTTGGCTTAACATGTCGCTAGGATTAATCACACTATTTTCAGCTTATAAGTAGGTTTTCGAGACTAGCAGTAGATCTGATATAGG